TTGTTAAATGCGGCCATATATTTACTCTTTTCGTCTCAAAATCAAAATACATAGTTTTCAAGTGGCTAGAGGGTTCTCACTGTCTCACATCACAAAGTCGTCTGCAATTTTTCTGCGTTCCGTGGTTTGTTACAGGTTAAGAAAAAGCAAGAGACCGATGTCCAAACTATATGGTTTGCCTCTCTGCGGAGCATCTGGAGGGCCAGAAACGAGAAGATTTTTCAGAGTAAAACAATTCCTGCAGCAGACATAGCGGATAAAATTAAGATTCTCTCGTGGCATTGGCTGAAAATTAAGGCCAAGAATTTTAATCAGCCTCTCTGCATTTGGCTTTGATTTCCATTTGATTGCTTGTAAACTCTTGTTCATATTCGATAGTTATTTTGGTGTTGCGGAATTTTTGTCTGGCGTGGAAACAGGTTTTTGCTTAGGGATTTATGTTGCAGACCTATATTTTCATTATGTTTTGGGAGTGTATCTGATTTAGTGCATTTGATTCTGTGTTCTGGTTTTGTTCTCTTATGCAGACCATATTAGTTCTGATAGCATGTTTCTCTATTTGGATTTGACATTATAATATTTTCTTCATTCTTGCATCTCTTGTGCATAGAATGTTTAATATATTCTTTCTTTTGGCTGGAAAAAAAAAACGGTGTAAGTGTTGTATTTGGTATAAACATAACATTTCTCATCTCAAATAGTCCACAAAACATAATTCCATATAAAAGTCACACATATACTACTGGCTCAAAGGCATAAAACATACTAAAATACAAAAATGTTATTGCATCACTATTTTACTAGTCAAAACAGCACATCTGTTTGTTTCAAGTTATAAAATTATATTTCTTAGAATTATATTCTTGAGATTATATTTCTATTAATAATATTCTCATTTATGTGTTTCGGTAAAAATTAAAGTTTTTAGAAATGTTTATAAATTAATTTAATTTAAAAATTATAAAAATAAATATAATGAGTAAAAGTGGAAAGTTATAAGTAGTTAAACTTATTCTCATTGAAAATCTTGAATTCCCACCCTTTATGTCTTGGAATAAGAATAAAAAAACTATGTGTAAATAATATTCCTTAAAATAAAAAGTTTTTAAGAATAATTTTATAAAGCTTAAATCAAACATGTGAATATTATATTTCCATAATCATATTTTCAGGAATATGTGCGGTAAACTTGAAACAAACATACTTTAAATGTGAAAACATTTAATTAAAAAAAATACAGTAATGTAATTTTCTATTTTATAAAAATGATTTTATATTTAAAGTTTTTTTGAAAAGTCTCACATCAAACAATTTTACAAGTGAGATAATCTTCGCATACAAACAAACGATTTTACAAGTAGATAAATAACATTACAGAAGTAAAAAAAAAATTAAGAAATTCAAACAGAACTAGGGTGAAAAATAACAATGCCAAAGATATTTATACGTAGTAAAAATAAACATAACATAACAGTTAACACTTTAGGAAAGTGCATCTCTAAATTTGAGAGATACATTTTAGATAATTATTTAGATAAAATATGACTGTTTCACTTAAGAAATATTAAAATATATGTATAAAAAGTACGTCTGAATAAATATATATATATGAATATAAAGGACAATTGTGATTTTTCATGACATGGAGGAGCACCTAAATTTAAAAATAAAAAAAAAACGTAATTCCCTAATCTAAAATAAACAGCCCATAAGAAGTCAAAACCCATTGGGTTCCATTTCCAACCAAATGGCTCAAAATCTCATCTTTCACGTTTTCCATACAATTTTTCTAAAAAAAATAAATAGAATTTCTTAATACATCTTATATATTTTTTAGGCACTAACGTGAATTTTTCAAAATGCTTTTAAAAATCAGAAATGCATTTCTAAAACGCACCAACATCTTATTAAAAAAGACTAAAATCGAAAATATATTTCTGATTTATAACTGAAAGTGTATTTTCGATATTACTCATTATAGAATGCAGAAAAACAACACTTACATATTACATCAAGATTTCCAAAGAAAACATAAAATCATATAAAGTAAATAATACATAAAATTACACTTCAACATTTGGGTAGACGTTGCAATAACTTCAAAATTTCACCGACCGTTCTTGTAATCATCACATCAAGCTCGATTTGAACTTTTTCGTCGTAATCGAAAAAGGTTTCTCACAAAGCCCGTAAATCAGTACTTGTTTGTATCTCTTTGTTGATGAACTCAAATTTTACGTCGTTGTTAATGGATGGAGAGCGGTACTCAATCTTTAAAATTTTCCGATTGTCGCCAAATGGTAAAAGTCTCTATATTGTGTAATGAAGATCTTCAAACGGTTCATATATGTTGGTCTTGATTTCCCTTAAGGATACTAACGTGACATTTTTTTTACAAAAAGAACAAATTAATGTGATTAATGTAGATTGAAAAGAGGAAGTTTTATCTTAAATTCAGTTTCTTTTAGCTCTTTTTGATATAATGCACTACAAGAATGTT